GTGGACGGGTGTGGGTGATGGAGGAGGAAGAAGGTGCAAGGTGGTTGGCTATGGCGGATGGGTGTGGGTGATGGAGGAGGAAGAAGGTGCAAGGTGGTTGGCTATGGTGGACGGGTGTGGGGGATGGAGGAGGAAGAAGGTGCAAGGTGGTTTGCTATGGTGGATGGGTGTGGGTGATGGAGGAGGAAGAAGGTGCAAGGTGGTTGGCTATGGTGGACGGGTGTGGGTGATGGAGGAGGAAGAAGGTGCAAGGTGGTTGGCTATGGCGGATGGGTGTGGGTGAYGAAGGTGCAAGGTGGGTGGCTATGGCGGATGGGTGTGGGTGATGGAGGAGGAAGAAGATGCAAGGTGGCTGGCTATGTTGGATGGGTGTAGGCGATGGCGGAGGAAGGAGGCGGGAGTCGGTYRGCTACGGCGGATGGGTGTAGGTGATGGAGGAGGAAGAAGGTGTAAGGTGTTTTGGGTTGTCTTTTGGACATCCCAACATGGTGGACAATTGCGGCGGATGGGTGAGGGGGGGATGGTGAAGGTGGTGGTAGGGGGAGAGGGSGCAAGGCGGTCTTGGCCCCGTGCCGCCCCCTATCCCAAGTGTCCGGGTCCGTTGCCTGCCGTATCCCCTAGTCCCGGAGGTACAACACAGTCCCACAACACACAATCTACAGCTAATATGCAGAAAACACAGATTTGCAGCAGATACAGTTGGCTGAGAAATCGCAGAACCTGCAGATTCGCCGGCTGCGGTAACTTACCGTTTTCGTTGTTTTTTTTTTTGCCGAGGGTGAAAAATCGGGATACACAGGCCTGTGTTTTCTGCCCCAAAGGACTTCAGAATCACTCCAATTTTTGTGGGCCCTTTCAATATGTCACAGGGAAGGCCTCTACAAAATTTGGTGGGATTCCGACGCCGTTTGGGCGCAGTTGCCTGTTTCGGGCGCCGTCCGGTCTCAAGGTGAATAGCTCGGAGGAAGTCCGTTTTTTTATTTTTTCAAAAAACGAACTCGATGGCCTGCCGGGTCTGCAGGCTATCTATTTATGTTCACGACATGAGGTCTGAGAAATCTCGGCCCTCATATCTATGTT